ATAACCAATCAGCGGCATCGAAACCCGTGGTTAGGTTGCTACGTCATTTTGTTCTGTTGTGCATGTCGCTAAATGTTGTTTTTCGTGCACGCCATGTGCCTGGGTTCATGAATGATGTAGCTGACGCTCTGTCTCGTTTTCAGTGGTCACGATTCCGGACGGTGGCGCCGGAAGCCCAAAAAGTGGGGCAGGCTTGCCCAGACGAGATTTGGCGGCTCGGGGCGACCTGCTTGGGGGACTGGTGAAGGCTTCGCTGGCGCCGGCCACATGGGCCGCTTACAGTAAGGTCTGGGACTCCTGGGAAAGGTCATGGGGAGGGTTGGACCGCCTGCCGGCGGGGGAATCGCTCAAGGATGCGTTCCTCTGGTACACCTGTCAATTTCTGGCGAAGGGGGCATCCCCGGCGGTGGTTGACAGGTCCATGGCGGCGATGGCTTTCTGGTTCAAGTTACATGGGGAAGAGGACCTTAGTCATAAGGCAGGCACTGAAGGGGTACCGGAGGGGCCGCAGACGGCCTGACACTCGGCGCCCAGTATCGGTGCGAGTGTTGAGTGACCTGGTCGGTTTATTGCCTACTATATGTTTCGACAGGTTCGAAGCATCGTTGTTTCAGGCGGCGTTTCTGTTGGCCTTCTTTGGAGCCTTTCGGGTAGGGGAGTTGGTCAGTGCCACGAAGACTGCGGCAGGAGGGGTACAGGTGTCGGGGGTCCGAGTGCTGGAAGGGAAGGTGGTTGTACACCTGGCAAGATCCAAGACGGACATGTTAGGCAAGGGCCGAGATGTGACGCTGCGGGCCCTGCCGGGCTCCGCTTTGTGCCCAGTGGCTGCGGTGGCGGGGTACATGGCACGGAGGCCGGGGGTTGGAGGATCGCTGCTGGTACACGCGGACGGGTCTTCCCTCTCCCGGTTCCAGTTCACCAAGGTTTTTTGGTCTGGACTGGGAAAGCTAGGACTGAGGGTGGATACTTTTGGTACACACTCCTTTCGTATTGGGGCGGCTACGGAGGCAGCTCGGTTGGGTCTGGGGGATGACATAGTGAAACGGATTGGGAGATGGGAGTCGGTACGTTTCCGTGCATATGTGCGTTTGGGTTTATTGGAGTAAGATGGGGAAGGGCCTTTGGGGGGATCCCCGGGGGCTGGGTGCATAAGGGGCTGTTATGATCTGTTTTCCTTCTCTCCCCCAGGCCGTGTCGCATGGATCGTGGGCCATTCATTTGTCTTCTGGGCCGAAAGGAGGGCTGCAGCTCGAGCTCAGGGCCACCAGCTGGGCTTTCATCGGGACCAGTTGGCAGTACAGTGGTTCGGGTACAGGGGGTTTTGTTGGGGGGAGGTCTGCGAAAGGGTGTTCCGGATGGTAGCAGGCGGGCAACGGCCGGACCTGCTGGTGCTCCATGCGGGGGGCAACGACTTGGGCCTCACTCCGCAGCGGCGGCTAGTGAAGTGGATGAAGCAGGACCTTAACGGTTTAAGGGACCTACTTCCGGGGGTGATGTTGGTCTGGTCGGAGATTGTCCCTAGGAAGCGGTGGCGGCATGCTAGGGACCCGGAGGCTATTGACAGATGTAGGAAGAAAGTGAATAGCTTGATGGCAAGCTTCGTGCGGAAGCTAGGGGGTGTGGTAGTTCGACACAGCGAGTTGGAAGGTGGTTTGCCAGGGTACTACCGCTCGGATGGAGTCCATCTCTCGGCAGTTGGTTGGGATCTGTTGACCCTGGGCTGGCAGGATGGCATAACTAAGGCTCTTTTTCTTGGGGGTGGCGGAGCTCAGACAGCTTAAGGAGTCAAGGTCTGAGCTTGTGGCGGGATAGGGAGCTGAAGGAGAAGAAATAGGCTCCCTAGGATGAACGTCATGGAGACGTAAAGCTGTGGTCATTGGTGGTTGGTAGGTTCCGAGTCCTGTCGGTGGCTCAGAATCTGGTGGGGCAGGGGTATCCGGGTATACCCCTGCCATGGTTAATTTATGTTTGGCACTTTAAGTTGGTATGTTGGAATATGTTGATACGTATGTTATATATATATGTATATGTGTTATTTATATGGGGGTCATTGCCTGTTATATTAACAGAAGGATTCGGTTATGAGGGCGGAGTATGGGGGCAATGACCCATGTTTATTGTTAAATTATTATTGCTATGGTTATTAATATGGAAATTAATAAATTATTATTATTCAAGATTGTTTAAATAAAGCTGTGGACAAATTTTCCCATATACCTTTGTGTCAGTGAGTTATTGGGTTGGGTATGTGGGAGGGTTGTCCTGGAGTCCGACTGCCCATATGGCGACTATACACCGGTCATGTAGCCCCATGTAGCCAAAGCGCAGCTAAGCGAAAAAAAGGCCTTGACAGGGGTTAGGAGGCGGGCATAGGAGGAGGGAAGGAAGTAGGGAGTTATGGGTAAGTAGGCTTGGCTATTTAAATAGGCAGCCATTTTAAAGCCTTCACTTTTAATTACTACCTTGCTGAGTTTGTCCCGCCCACCCTCCCTGAATTTGGTTCGGACTTGGGTTATCCCGTTTTTTCACAGCGGCGGGATAGGGAGCTGAAGGAGAAGAAATAGGCTCCCTAGGATGAACGTCATGGAGGCGTAAAACTGTGGTCATTGGTGGTTGGTAGGTTCCGAGTCCTGTCGGTGGCTCAGAATCTGGTGGGGCAGGGGTATCCGGGTATACCCCTGCCATGGTTAATTTATGTTTGGCACTTTAAGTTGGTATGTTGGAATATGTTGATACGTATGTTATATGTTATATGTATATGTATATATGTTATTTATATGGGGGTCATTGCCTGTTATATTAACAGAAGGATTCGGTTACGAGGGCGGAGTATGGGGGCAATGACCCATGTTTATTGTTAAAATTATTACTGCTTAATAAATTATTATTATTCAAGATTGGTTAAATAAAGCTGTGGACAAATTTTCCCATATACCTTTGTGTCAGTGAGTTATTGGGTTGGGTATGTGGGAGGGTTGTCCTGGAGTCCGACTGCCCATATGGCGACTATACACCGGTCAAGCGCATCTCCAAATGTTATGTTCAATGACAGAAAAGGGCAGAACATATAAAATGGCTGTGACAGAGCCAAGATGGAGGCACTCAGGTCCAGAATGGAGCACAGGGGATTACTACATTTAATTTCATTTAATTTTTACTTTTTACACCTCATAAACACATTTTTGTTTAACATGGGGATATATAAAAATAATATTAAAAGACATGGGAAGTAAAGGTCTCCCTTAAAGCAGAACTGTCACTGTTTACATAATTTGCAAAGACCCCTGATGGTGACATTGCCACTGGGGGTCAGGTAGTGGTGGATCCAGAGCCTGATCTCGGGAGGGGCACTTGTAGATTATTTAAATAAATAATCCTGGCACAATAACCACTACAGCTCAGTGTAGTAGTTATGGTGCCAGTAGTGCCAGGATCTCCACCCCAGAGTAAGTAGTCATACCGTTTAAGAACAGTTTGACAACTTCCCTGGGGTCTGCTGGGATATAGGGCATAGGAGCAGTGGTGTGTGTTAGGGGTGCAGTGTGTGTGAAAGGTGCAGTGTGTGTGAGGGTGGCAGTGTGTGTTAGGGGGCAGTGTATGTGTGGGGCAGTGTGTGTGTGTGTGTGTGAGGGTGGCAGTGTGTGTATGGGGGGCACTGTATGTGCGTTTGGGGCAGTGTGTGTATGGGGGGCACTGTATGTCTTTGTGGGGCAGTGTGTGTATGGGGAGGGCACTTTATGTATAGGGGGCAGTGTGTCTATGGGGGCACCAAAGGTATATGGGGGGTCGTGTGTGGGGCAGGTATGGGGCAGCAGTGTCCAGGGCACT